CTTCTGTCGTTTCATTTGCCTTCCATAAATGTTTTAGCAGATAAACATAGCTGGGAGTAACCTGTATTTTCCATCGCACAGCTGATTAATTCTGATTGCAAAATCCTGAAGGTTCCCCTGTTCAGCTCACCCTGGCCATCCGCTGCGGAGGCTGACGGGAGGGTCTCCTCTGCCTGGCCCCGGAGCAGGGCAGAGACAGACACACTGGCCTTTGCTGGAGTTGAACACTTGTGTTCAGACCCTCAGCTGACAGACACCAAACCGTTGTAGATGTAGGAGTGAAGGTAATGAACCCATTTGTGCAAGATCTGCATTTGTTTTAATTCTACCATCATGTGCGGTAGGCGCCACTTGAGCTGCTGCTGTTTGTTACCAGATATTCTCATACGAAAATACAAAACCGTTGAAGTTCCTATTGATCTCTGAATTGCCAAGGGTGGTGCTCTATTGGAAAGAGGTACATCGCATATTTAAGCACTCTTGGAAATGGAAATCAATCTCACAATTCATAAATTCCATCTGGCTGGAGAAGTAGCAGAGCAAAGTGCCAGTTACGATTTCAATGAAGTCATATTTCATGCTGTAAATAGTGTAATGTGGACACGGCGCACATAAACATAATGCGGTAATGGGGCTTTCCCACAAAAAGTCTTCTCAGCCTCTTTCCACTAAATCATGGTGTGGGGCTGTGCTGGCGTGGGGCTGTGCTGGCGTGGGGCTGTGCTGGAGCAGGATCACAGCACTGGTGTGGCACTGGGCAGTGCTGGGCTCCCCGGGGGAGCAGGGTGAGCTCTGCCTCCCGCTCCGGGGCACGTCGGGATTGTTATTGGCAGCTGTGGCTCTAATTGTCGTCGAAAGAGCTGACTCCTCACAATCCTAAAACAAGTGCTCGAAATAAAGTTGTGCGTTCTGCTTCCATCAGCTGTACAAATACTTCTGCCGGAAAGGAGTAAATCACCAGTTTAGAAGAAGGATGGGGGTACTGGGGAGGGTTTCGTCGTCAGGCATGACGGAGGATGTGATCTCACTTAATTTTCATATTAATATTTCACTCTGGCTCTGCGTGCTGCTGCTGCGGGGGGCACAGCAGAGCCCTGGGTCTCTGCTCCCTGTGCCCGACCCAGGCTGTGCTGTGGCTGCCCCATCCCTGGGGGGTTCAAGGCCAGGCTGGATGGGGCTTGGAGCAACCTGCTCTGGTGGGACGTGTCCCTGCCCAGGGCAGGGGGTGGCATTGGGGGTCTTTAAGATCCCTTCCAACCCAAACCATTCTGTGATTCTGCTCATGTTTTGTACCATTTTAATTTTCATTTTCAGTAATCAGTGCCTGTAACTGTGTGTAGTATCAGATGTCCAGGGAAGGCTGTGGTGGCTGGTGGGGCACGGAGCCATGTCCTGTCCCCGGGAATGGTTCTTGGGCACTTTTGGAATCGTAAAGATGCTGAATTCAGCCCCAAGCCGAGGCGTGTGCATGCATTAACATGCTGATGAGCTCCCGGCTCAGAATTCCCGCATTTTTAGTACCACCGAGGCATCATTTGTCAAATGATTTAAAGGGGGTTTTTTATTATTATTATTAGCCAATTTTTCAATACAGAATTTATATTCCAGATTAGTGCATCATAATGGTGTTTAATTAACTTGCCACAATAAAATACTCGCATCTCAAATTTTCTGGCCACAGATCTGAGCGTGTATCAGTCACTTTTTGGAAATCTGGAGAATTAGATAATGTAAATAAGTTTTCAAATTCGCTTTCCTCCAGGAAAGACCTGAATTTACAGCAATGCAGCTGTTACTTTACAGGTTGCTAACTTTGACCTTTGAACTGAGTAAGTTATGAAAAAAACTGGTGGAAAAGTACAATATGTGGAATAGGTTTAATTTTAATTTTGAAGCCATGAACATCCATACAAGTGAAGGATATTCTGCCTCATTCCATGTTCTGCGTAGAGACCTTTACACTAGAGCCGCCCCGCCAGCAAAGTGCTACGCTGGTAGAAATTACAGTTTCACTTTAATTTTGCTTGTCCTGCTTGTAGGAGGTGAGATTCCTGGGTGCGAGTCCCGCCGCCGCGTCCCGCTGTGTTTCACCGCGGTGGGGGTTCCTTGGCCCTCGGCGACTGGGCGGCTCTGGGGGGTGTTTTGGGGGGAGGCTGTTGGCGTGACGATTCTGGGGTTAATTGGCCTTTTATTTTAAATATAGCACTTACCTTCTGCACGTGGTGATTATGCAGTGAGTGGTGACACGAAGTAGCCCTATCGCGGCGGTTGGGCGGAAGCGCAGCCGTGGGCTGAGGGGAGCTAACTGCCGTTTGATAGAGCTCTGCCTTTCCTGCAGTGGGGATGCGATGGGAAAAACCAACTTTATTGACTAGAGTTCAGCTGCTCCTGTAAGCCACCACTTGCCTTAAATTGAAATGACATGAGAAGCCTGTCAGCGTTTCATTACTTCCTTCTGTTGTGCTGATGGTATGCTAAGATCACCATCTGTGTTTTTCTTCTGTCAGGCACACAAGCTCCGCTGAAACTTTACAGGAATATTCTGAACAGTTTTTTTTCTTGTCTTCGCAGGTCATGCAATATTTAAACTTACATATCTAAGCAATCATGACTACAAACACCTTTACTTTGAATCAGATGCTGCTACTGTCAATGAAATTGTACTGAAGGTGAGTCTTAAACTTTAACGGGACCCAAAATCCTGGGTTTTTTTACCAATGGTTAGACATGGAAGTGTTCAAGAGGCTCTGGAAACACGGAATGGTGCGGTTCCCGAGGAGCACTGAGGTGCGTTTAACTTTCCAGGATACTCACTTGGTCCCTATTATTTTATTTGTTTTTCAAACTGCCATGCAGCAGACTGCCTATTTGTATATAATACTTCCTTTTATGCTTGTTTCTAGTTAATTAAGACACAAATTTTCTGTGGAATTTTATAGGAAACTACCGAATTTTATTGTGTCCGGGTAGTTTCCCCCTCCAGAGGCGTGGGGCCCAGCGCGGGTGGCTGTACAGAGCAAAAAGGCTATTTTTTTCCCCAACTTGATACTTTAACAGAATTACTTGCTTTTCTCCTGTCTCAGCACATACACATATTGACTTACTTTCTGAAACAAATTTTTGTAACGCTCTTGGAAGATTAAACTTAATTTTCCGCAAGCTAATATTTTATAGCAACTCAAAATTTAAAAAGCAGTAATCTTGGCAAGCCATCTGTCAGGTTTGCTTTTATTTTCTATGTGGAATTTAGAGGATTGGTAAATAACTGATTACGATAAAATTATTAATAACATAGAAGATTAATGTATTGGGGGGGGTCTTCTACTTACTTCGTGAACTGTTAGGCCAATTCTTTTGTTCCTACTTTATCTTAAGCTATTGTAATCCAGAGCACTTGACACATCCGAGACTGGTCATAAAAAAAGTTAAAAAAAAAAAAGGTTTGTTATGAATAAGATGAATATTCAAGAGAGAAATATTGAACAGTGCTTTTTGTCTTAAGTTGCATATTGTTTAAATAGAACATTTTCTGGTTTCGTGCATAAGTTACCAGTTTGTTTTCAATTCCGTCAGCGTTGGGAGACAGAGAAATCAGACTTTTCAAATTAGGCTTTTTACATGATCAAGTGAGAAAGACCGAGGCTTTATTGACCATGAAAATTCCCTATATTTTTATGCCTTAAGCTGTAATATGCAATGAAAGTGAAACACTCTACAGTGCATAAAATTGTGCAAGTTTTAAGCCACAGCGTATTAACCAGCTAATGGCAGACCAAAGGGCATTTTTATCTTTTTGATTCTTGCATTAACCTTCCATTAAAATTATCTATGTGATTATCACAAAGCACTGGAGATAATAAATTTAGAGAATAGCAGGCTTGTTAAATATCATTTAAAAATGCTTTCATCAAGTAAAATGTGCCAAAACACAGGGAAACTACGAGATTAGCTGAGTATGCAAACATCGTAACGAAAGAATTATTTTTATTGAAGCTGATAAAGTCTTTTATTGAAGCCCATTACTGTACCTGACCCGCACCGCGGGTCTTTGCGACTTGCTGCCTTGGCCGGAGTTTGGGTGTCGAGGGAGGGGGACGCTGAGAGCCCACGGCACCGCGCGGGGGAGGGCGGTGGGTGCCCAGGGGGGATCTGAGGAGCTCTGGGCTCTCTCTGCCGTCCTGCTGCCAGCCCACTGGGCCACTTCCACTGAAGCCTCGTCACCCGGCGGTGTGAGGATCCCTGCCCTCCCCGGGCTCTCCCACCGACGAAATTAAATACTATTCCATGTCTTTGCAGGTTAACTATATTCTAGAGTCGCGAGCAAGCACAGCCAGAGCAGATTATTTTGCTCAGAAACAAAGAAAGCTGAGCAGGAGAACAAGCTTTAGCTTCCAGAAGGAGAAGAAATCGGGACAGCAGTGAGGGCGCAGGGGGAGAGCCTGTCTGCCCACCTCGGAGGAGGAGACGCTCCCACCGCCCGAGACCGGGGGGAGCCAGGACTGCGGGGCTCCTGCTGCCAACGGGCGGGAGCAGCCGGGGAAGAAACCTGAATTATCCCGACTCTCACGGTTGGAAGATTATCCCTCATTGGTGATGGGAAGTCTCCCCTGTGACAAAAATAAAGAGCCATATCAGCCGGAAAGAAGACTGTTACGCATCAGGTTCCTTTGATTAGAAATAAGAGAATGACGTAGACTGGCATCATTTAATTACTGTATTATGTACAATCACAAGAAGAGATGTGATTACATATTATTTCACAGCCTGGTTAAAATAAATTATATACATCTGTAATACACCCACGTACACACAGGTATTGCTTGTGACATGATCAAATTTCTAAAAACAAAATGTAGGACAAATGTATCCATTTTTACTATTAATAAACAGATGTAATCTTTTTCAAGGTCCATATGATGCACAGTTCTTTTGGGGGGAGGCTGCAGTCCCAGATGGTTTCACTTCTGTTGCTGAAGTGCAGGAGGCAACCGTGAGCCAGGGAACAGCAGCCATCGCAGGGGAGCCGATTTGTGAAGAAGCGTTGAGACAGTCGAGTCTGTTGTGGTTTGTTTTGTTCAAAAATATTTTTATTTAACTGTGCTTTTCAGCTTTGCATACGTGTTATTGGAAGTTATTGCTGTAGTCGGCACGGTGTGTGGGACCCGCAGCGGCGTCTCCGCGGCGGAAGGAGAGCATCCTCCTGCCTGCTCCTCCTCCCCGGGACGGCTCGCACCTGAGGACTGAGAAATGCCTTCACCTTTTCTTAATATATTATTTAAAAATAAACATTAAGACCTACTTTGTACTGGGATTTGTAACTATTTTAGCCTTGTCCATCCTTAATACATCAGGGAACACGTGAGTGGGATGACTGGGACCCAGAGCTGCGGTTTTGGTTCAGTTCACCAGAGGTGTCTTTCCTAAATCTCTCCAGGTGGCTGGTCGAGGCTGGAGCTCCCTGTGCTGCTGCTGGGGGCTCTGGAGCAAGAAAATGCCCCCGGTCCCCAGAGGGGTTTGCCCACAGCGGGGGCTGCAGGGTCCAGCCCCGCCTGCCGCAGGGTGACCTCCGACAGTGTCCTGCCTTGCTTTTGTACAGAGAAACCTTCCTGAGCCTTAACACGTAGTTTAGGAATCAACACTAAGGCGGAGAGGTTTGTGTGTCACTTACCTGTTGCATTCAAGTTCTTGGTTTTTAAAGGTTTACCCTCCCGGAGCCGGTGCCCTCTGGAGGGGAGCCCTGCCCGTGCTGCTGGGGCCAGTCTGCACTGTACAGTCTTCCACAATATCTGCAAAGCAAGAGAATATTTTATAGTATGATATTAATTTTTTTAATATTTTATATGCGCAAATGCAGCACAGACGCAACGGGGAAAGACCCTTCAAATAATGCAATGTAAATGACTCCTTTAACCAACTTTGTGAACTATTTAACATTAAAGTTGTTATGTGAATGTTCGTTTGCCACCTAGTTTCAATTCTTTTTAACTGAAGTAAAAGATTGCCTACTTTGGTATCAGAAATGACAGAAGTCTCCTGCTTGTTTCCATGGCCATAATGCTGTTGCCACCCACCTACCTTCATTTATTACATTAGATCAGTAGGCATTCAAGCCGTGCGTATTTTGCTTTCAGTGAGGCCTTAAGATTCACGTAATAAGAACATCTCTGCTGTCTGAGCTGTGGTGAGGTTTGTGGGTGCAGTCACTTGCCGGACCACGTGCGTTTACACCATCTTGTAAATCACCTTCCACTTGCTTTATTTTTAGTGCAGTCCCCGCAGAGCGTGGCCACACGGCATGTCCCCGGGGAGCAGGGACAGGGCGTCAGGACGGGACGGGACGCGCTGTCGGAGGATGCTCCCAGGGCTTGACGGGGAGCAGGCAGGGTGTGGAGCCCAGAATGAGTCTATTTGCTCTGAAAGGGTTAATTTACTTTCAAAATCCAGATCCAGCTGAGTACACGGTGTGGAGGAAACCTTCCTGAAATTCTGGAAATGTCCGGCTTTGCAAGGGCCGAACAGCCTCTCCCTCAGAACAGACATTTTTGCTATTTAGTGTTTGCCGAAAGAGTTAAATCAGAGTTCATGGCTGCAATCTGTGCGCAGCTGAACACAGATCCATCACGGGCTGGTCTTTCCCCGGTAGTTGTAGATTTAATTGATTCAGATGGGCATTCAACTGGGTCAGAAAAGCAAGCTGTTCCTTCCACGCATTGTTCCTGGGCTTCGGGAGAAGAGGGTGGCTGTGGCTCACGTGGCCAGGATGGCTTCTCACTGACGAGCCTCGGTAGCTCTTGGAGCCAGAGCTTTTCTGGATTGTCTCTTCTGCTCTCAGAGGGGGACCTGGCTGGTGTGTGCACCTGAAGTTTTATGGTCGGTTGCTCCTTGTGGAGCAGAGCGTTCGCTTGCAAGAAGTCAGGAGCACGGCCCCAGTGTGAGTTGGGAAGCAGCCGCAGAGAGCGGTGGTTGCCCTCGCAGCCCCAGGGGGCTTGTACCCACGGGCTGCTCTCAGCCCAGACGCCCGCAGCAGCCGGTGCTGCTCATGGACAGCCCCTGGCTGCCCATCTTGCTTGGCTTTGCACAAAAAACTGCTTCTCAGAGAGTGCCGAATCCACCAGGGGAGACGGTGACCTTTGTGGTGAGCCCCCGAGGTCACGCGGTGTGCTCCGAGGGTGGCTGAGCATTTCTCTAGGAGAGCTGTGAAAGAATAAAATAGCTGATGAGCAGCTTTGCCCGCTCAGGAGCAGTCGGTCGGTCGGGGATGGCCAAGGCTGCTGCAGCCACAGCGAGTCCAGCGTGGGGAGACGGGCCCTCGCCGCAGCCTCGCTTTTATCAGTGTTGGGACACTGAAGAGTGACCTTTTAACAGAGGACACCCAGGCCCTGCTGCACCCAAGGGGGAGCTTGGGGGGGGTCTGGCCTGACCCGAGCTCTCCCAGGGCCCTGCAGGGATTTGCCGTTCGAGCCAGAGGCTCCTCTGGGTTCAGGCTGGTGGGAGCCTGGTGTAACCGGGGGCTTCTGCAGCTGCCCCTCCATCGCCGTGGCAGGGCTGGGACCCGGTGGGAGTGCAGGCTGTGCCCACCCCGCACCAGGACCAGCAGGCAAAAACCATGGTGCAGCCCTGGGTGCAGCCCTGAGATTAATGGGGGGAGTTATTTATGGAGACATGTTTGTAATGGGCCCATGAATTTCATGGAAATGCGCTGCTGCGGCGGCGTGTGGTATTGGGTGCTGCTGCTGCTGCTAAAATTAATGCCCCTTAAATCACTCCCCAGTGCAGCCTCCCCGGTGCGACGCCGGGACAAGAACGGCAACGAGGACGGCGCTGTGCGGGCACAGAAGCCGTGCGGGGCCGCGGGAGGTGCCCACACCCCGGGGGTGCTGCTCCCGGGCACCGCGGAGGTGCCTGCAGCCGGGGCCACCGCGCAGCCGAGGCACGGGGAGGGCTGGCCCCATGCACGGCCCCCACTGCTGCCGCACCAAGGGTTAAGCACTGTCATGTTTTATTCTCCCCACACACCTCTGCTTAAATGCAAAAAAAAAAAAAGGAGAAAAAAAAAAAATTATGAGACCAATAATTTTTAATGAAACTTGGCTTAGCCCTTGAAGCAGGTCATGCAGATAAAAAGTAGGCACATGAATTCTGTAGCCATATTCTTTCTTTTTTCCTGGCAAGGATTAAATAAATGTAGTTTGAATTAAATCGGAGCGTAATGGAGATATGTTTTAAATTATTGATTCTGCAAGCAGTAATTTGGGCATTTTCTTTTTTTGCCATGTGTTTGACTTACTCTTCATCAGGAAGTATGGAAATTCTAATCCTTAAAATTTGCATTTCTATCTGCCCTCCC